CTGTTATATGACTTAGGTTTGAAGGTCCAGCCAACTAAAACAAATAAATTACCTCTGAAAAGGAGAAGGGGAAAAGTTACAGGAGCTGGGTAGTTGTGAGCAAATTGAATGATTGATTAACAATTAATTATCTAGATCTTCTTGTAGCTAAGCTTCAACTAGGAGTCTCTTCCATCCTAGAACAAACCTGCAGATAAAGACATTCAGTCATTTGCTATATTTTCTGAATTCATATGCTATAGCAGGGATAACAGCTTTTGGCTGAAAGTTTCATCCGTTCTGAGATGATCAAGTAAAATCCACTTATGCTTGGTTATCTGAGCATCTTCATCTGAACAGAATATCTTTTGATGATAGATTCGAGGCTTTGCATGGCCAGCCATGCTGGTTGGTTGGGTTGCCCAAAGTGCAAGGTACCATCTATCTATACTTTAATTTTTATCGGTGTGCTTTTAGATATTTTTTACTTGAAGGAGTTGGCTGAGTGATCTATAAGGTTATGTAGCATTCTATTCCGTTTCTTCTTCATATTGGCAGCTATGCTTTGACAAGCTCCGCTAACACATGTACTGTTTGATATCATGTTTCATGTTGTTCTTGCCACATAGGAAATCAATTGTGGGGCAATGTCTAGCACCTATTTTCACCATATTTAGTCTTCCTCTTCCTGTTTGTCTTTCATCATGGATTCAAGTCCTCTCCCTCAAGAAGCAACTCGTTTTGTTCTGTGTTTACATGATTATTTATTTCTGATTAGACTTAACTAAACATTATATATTTTCTTCTTTATATGAGAAGAGCATACTTTTGTTGAATGTTAAAAGACATAACTAACTCTTACTAGATAGTCAAATGAGCAGAATATTTTTAGATAATGAAGATGAAACACAACTTTTGTTAGCGGTTAGCTTATGAGTTATGACCCTATTAAAGATGGATAATGGACTTGAGCTTTGCTTGAAAGACATTTGAGCATGCCGAGAGAGAGAGAGAGAGAGAGAGTCTATATCAGGCATGCACAGCTAATGCGCCAGCTGAGCTTTTACTGAACACTGTAATTTGCACATGAATCAGATTAGTAAGGATGAGATGACAGATGTAAGGAATTTTTCATTTACAAGGCTAAATATAAAATTCTGCTTTTGATATCCAAAGCAGAATTTAGATCATTTACGGAGCTGAAGGTGTCCAATTTATATCATATTACTGGTACTCTATTCCCATTTAATAAGAAAGATCTTTCTTCTCCTATTAAATATGACGTAACAGGCACTATAACTCCTTCTGGGATAGCTGATGGTTATTTTGGCTTTTGCCTTTTCTTTGAATTATATAAATTTGTTCAGTCCCCGTCTGCAAATCCTCTGCGTGATTTCCAAGAAGTGACGCAAAAACAATCTGAAAGCTGTTTATGATTTTATGCTAGTGTTGTTGTGTTAGCATAAGTGCATTGGTCAGTCTGTTTCAGCGTGTAATACATTTTCTTGTTCTTGAATATACAGTCTAGGCATGAAAGATTCGTGGGGACCTTTAAAGGCTTTGGCAGTTGCCACTGTTATTAATGGCATTGGCGACATAGTCTTATGCAGATTCTTTGGATATGGTATTGCTGGAGCAGCATGGGCAACAATGGTCTCCCAAGTATGCCAAATATACCTTACCAAAAGCCTTTTCTTCCTCTAAATGAATTTGATCTGCTCTTCAACTCTCTGTCTCCCTTCCTCTCTCCACCCCCCGCCCCATCCTCCATTTTCATACTCCTTATGGTAATTCCTAGCTTACTAGCATATTTTAGGTTGTTGCAGCTTATATGATGATTGAGGCACTGAACAATAAAGGATATAATGGTTTTGCCATATCTGTTCCATCATTGAATGAAGTTCTACAGATTTTCATACTTGCAGCACCTGTGTTCCTAACAATGATGTCAAAGGTTTGTTTGACTCAGCTGCATTTTGATTTTGCATGAAAGTGGTGACTTTGTTATGTATCTGACAGATCTTGAACTTCAGGTGGCATTCTATTCTCTACTTGTCTACTATGCTACATCAATGGGCACAAACACTGCTGCTGCACATCAGGTTAGTTTATGTGAAAACTAATATTTTAGATGTATTTTCTTTTTTCATCTTTCTAACGACAAGGTCGGATGGATATTAACATTGACGTATTGATTTTTCTTATTAGGTCATGCTACAACTATTCTGCATATGTGCAGTATGGGGTGAGCCTCTCTCTCAAACAGCGCAGTCATTTATGCCTGAATTGTTATATGGAGTGAATCGGAACTTGTCAAAGGTTATAAGTTAATTCATGTAAAATTTATAGTATCCTGCATCTATTTCCTTTATAATACCACATCCATGAAATTTTGACCGTGATGTCCATGTGCACTGTTGTTTTTATTCTATATTGAAGTTCTTGATTCATTCCCAAGTATACAAATAGAGCTATGTTCCATGCATTTTTCTTTAATTGGATATTGTAAAAGACGAACACTGTGAATCAGGCCCGGATGCTGCTGAAGTCCCTTTTAATCATTGGAGCATCAAATGGATTATTACTGGGATCTGTCGGAGTGTCAGTTACATGGTTTTTCCCCAAAATATTTTCACCTGATCCTCTGGTCATAGAAGAGGTTAGTTATGTACTACATCTTTGATATTTCTTATCCTTTAAGACATTGCAATGTACTGATGAAGTGCAAGATGATACATCTTTTGGTCCTGAGGATTTTAATCCTTTCCACATTCTTTTTTTTGATAAATAACCTTGCTACTAGGAGCAAACAGAAATGATAAAGAAAGAAATACTGCATAAAATGAAAATAACGCAAACAAGCAGCGCGTTAACCAGGTTCATGTTATACTGGATTAAGATCGTGTAAGCATCATCATCATCACTGGGATCAGTTATTTCTATGGTGTTAGTCCGTCCTGTTAGCCAAACTCAGAAGCTTCAATCATAGATTTTGCATTTTAGGTTGGGTATTTGCTATACTCTGTGCACTGCGAGTTGGAACATAAGAACCAAATAAAGATTTTATGTCACTGAAAATAGTTTTATCATGATCGACTGATTGTTCTCACCTTCTGTTGGTGCAGATGCACAAAGTATTGCTGCCATTATTTCTAGCTCTCTGGGTCTCACCGTGTGTTCATAGTCTTGAGGGAACCTTGTTGGTATGTTTTCATACTTTCTCCAAAGTATATTTTGACCACTGTAGAAATTTGGGTTGATTATATATAGATGATTTTAACTGAAAGTCCTTTTTATTTGTCAACGTCTGCCATAAGTTAGGAGTATATTCTGTTTCTTTGGAAAAAAAAAATGTAGCATTTCAAGTGTATTAAGGGATAAATATTACTGGGTAGGGCCAAACAAGGGGTGTGTTTATTTGCACTAGCAATTAAATTTTTTCTTCATGAGGGGTTTCATTTTATTAACTATTTGCAAATTCAATAATAGTAACTAGTAAGTACATCATTGAGTAACTGCTGTGAGAGCGTAATCCTGCAATCAGCAAATTGAAAAATCCAACAAGCCAAAGAGAAGTGCTACCATAACATTAAAGTGAGAACAATCAGAGTGAGTTTATTACATGGAGAACGTGTTCCGGGTTTGACATTTTAACAGGCTGCAAGGAGTGAATAGAGAAAACGATAGAGAAAGAGAGAAACAAGGGGGGGGATGAAATTTTATTTGCTTTTTATTGAGCATTTTTGTTTATCCAAAGTGCGGATAACGCATAAGGATGATAGCTCCAATTTGGATAGGTACCTTTTCAAATCTTTTTGTAATCTAGATCAAACAAAGAAAAATTAAAACTTGGATATCCCTGTTAAACTCTTTGCCCGGACTTCAATTGTGCATTTATTTTGTGTATTAGTTTCTTAGGAAAAGAGCAGTTCTTTTCTTTCTTTTTCTTGGAGACGATTCAGCCCCTACTTATCAATTTCCATTTTGTATATTTTTGAAGTATTTACAGTTTGGCATTGCAATTGTTTAATTTTGTCACTTCATTTTTTATTGTTATTGGATAGGATTCTCTTCATCATTCGAATTAGTTTTGTGATACCATTTTCTCAACACTATGATTTGGTTACTTCTTAGGCTGGACGGGACTTAAAATTTATTAGCATATCAATGACCGCAGTATTTGGTTTGGCCTCTCTTCTCGTCATGGTAAGGAATTCCACTTATTTCGCAAGTGTTTCCTCAATCATCATGATTTAGTTGGCAAATCAAAATCGTTACCCTTGCTCTGCATGCTTTGCTTGAAGTAACTATTTTGATTTCAAGCAGCTCTTGAGCAGTAAAGGATTTGGTTTGCCCGGATGCTGGTTTGCGCTAGTAGCATTTCAATGGGTAAAGATCCATAGACACCCTCACAAGCTTCTGTTCTCTGTTTGTCAAAAATTGACTGATAGTTGTTTACCTTTTATTTTTTTTCCCAGTCACGATTTTCAATTGCTCTACGGAGGCTTACTTTGGCAGATGGCATGCTTTATTCGGAAAACTCAGATCATTACGAGTTACAAAAGGTGAAAGCTGCATAAGTTTGAGATGCTTAAGATAATTCTGTACACAAAAAGTGGAGCAAGTTTTACGTTAAATATTTCCAATTTACAGAAGGCTGGCATAGTGATTAATTATCAACAACAAAATTTTATTGTTGTTATTTGTCAATTGTCAATATCAAAATTAATTGATTCACAATGTATCAATTTTCAAATGAGTTGCAAATTACTATTGACATGTCCAATGCTTGGAGAGCTATGTCAATGTTTGAGATGTTTGACATTTCCTGAAAACGTGATTAAGATTTATTTATACATCAACTCCTGATTTAGCAATCTCGGTTTCAACATCACTGACTCCAAGGCAGTTTAAATTTAAAATAGAATTATTTCGATGGGAGTCATTCTTGCAAAGCCATCAAAGTTGGACCAAATAAATATTGTTTCCCAATTCCACAAAGTAAATGGCGAAAAGAGAGATTAAGCATAAAAAAGATATCTATACCAGCGTAGTGACCACAATTAGTCAGAACCATGATACAGAAGGGTAAATTTAAGACATCAAGGATCCATTAATAAAGTGCACTATTCTTCAGATTTCTTCTAGTTAAAATTGACGATTTCTGCAACCACGAATATGACATTTTCGATGTCAACCTACTATAACATTTGATATGATCAGATTCGAGATCAATCTATACTCTAAGTGAACGTCTTTGATACTATTTCCCACCCCGCCCAAACATTGTAAAAACGTAGTAGTAGGAGAAAAAGTACAACTGCTAACTTTTCTTGTATACATCTCTTCAGCTGGGATATTTCATACGCAAATTCTTTGTCCCTTGGATCTTCATCTTCAGACTATGCGCCTATCATAAGAAACTTCTGCCAAATTTTAACTGAGCCATGGGAGCATTGTGGTGGCTCTGGTGGAAACTTAAACCCTGCTACTTCCTCGGCGACCGCGAGCATATGGTCTTGGTACTTGTCCTTTACTCTGCACATAAGGAGATCCCAAAATGAGCAAGAATGATCATGAATGAAGGAGAGGAGAAAAATTGGGAAAAGGGAATAGGCAAGGAGAACTGTGAGTATTAATTTATTATAACTAGCAACAAACAACAACAACATAACCAGGGTAATCCCACAAGTGGGGTCTGGGAAGGGTAGAGTGTACGCAGTCCTTACCCTTACCTTTAAGAAGGCAGAGAGACTGTTTCCGGTAGACCCTCGGCTCAGGAAAGATAAAAAAAATTATTATAACTAGATAGAATGAAATTAAGACCTCAAATGATTGTTTCGCCGCATATTGTTTTTTTCTCATAAAAGCATTTTGAGCCTGTTTTTTCTTCTCTTCGGCTTTAAGTTTTGTCACGCTTGGACGGTAGAGAATCACAGTCCTACCAATTTGACCAACAACCACTGATCCAGTTGCTTCCTCTAAATGCTTTACAACATCATCCAGCTCTCCCCCTGGACAGGTACCATGTATTTTGAGCTGCATATAACAATCCAGCCATTAAAATCGAATCCCAAGAGCAATGCTTTTATCAGTTATCACATTCACCAACAGTTAACACATTGCTAAAAAGATAAGCGTGAACTTCCATCAACAGAGCTGATAACATGTGACTGTCAGTCCACCTTAGTTTAAGCAAATTAAATTCTACTGATTTTCCATCGGAAAAGGCCCTTCTAATTCCTCAGCGAATGAAGTTATAATCATTATTTTGGACATTTTTACTTTTACTGGCAACCCTGTCGTCCCCTTTCCATATCAAGAAGATGAGATCATAGGGGGCGACCGCACATACTTGATCACAAACACTCGCCTTCTTCAGTATAGCCGCTTAACCTTTAACCATATTGATTACTATTGCTCATACTGCTAATCTACACACAACAAACCAGCTTTAACATATTACAAGTTAACAGTGACACAGGCACAGCAAAAGAACTTCCAAGTCTTTCTAATGTGAAACCTCCACTTGCTAGTAACCAGAATAATCATCTCAGAAACTTAACAACCACTCAAATAAAGCCAAATTTCTGCAGATTTTAGTTCGTTCCCTGTTTCATGGTTTTGGTGAAAAAACTACTCAATAAGCAACAGAGGTAACCATAACATTAGAATGTCTATGGAAAGATTAATACTGGCTACTCTACATATTTCGTTAGAATGCACATTATCAAGAACTAAAACGGCATGCAAGCACAAACAGTTCCACCGGTTGAATTTTAACTCAGATTTACAGCAAGATCCGTGACCAATTTTTTACCTAATTACTAACATATCATCTCTACTTGTTACTTATATCAAAAATAAAAAATCATCTCTACTTGTTAAAACGACGCTGTTCTTACTAACTACTAGTCCAGTACACTTCAATCTTTGTATAAATTCCGACCTATGACGAGAGGCAAATTCAGAATTTTAATAACATGGGTTCGACCTTAAAACTTATTGGTACTTTTAAAATTATGGTTCACATATAATATTTGCTGAAAGTTTATTGGGTTTTCACATATAATATTTGCTGAAAGTTTATTGGGTTTTCACATATATATGTATGTCCAATGCTCCGTGTAGAAAATACTGATGAACCGAGGAAATTAAGATAACTCGAAAAGTTTTGAAAGACAATTAGGAAAAAAAGAAAAGGACACTACACTGAATTTGAAGATAACGTTTCTAGCATAATTGATATAAACCCTAAACCCTAAACAGCTGGTCAAAAATTGAGTAAAATCTTCACCAGCACAAAAAAAAGGGGGGAAATGTACCTTGAGAAGCTCATTAGCTTCAAGAGTCTCATCTAACGCAAATATCACAGAATCAGTGACACCAGATTTTCCGACTTGTTGACTCTTCAGCTTCTTCCCTAAACTGTGTGCATACGATGCCAATTCTTTCTTCTCCTTCCCTGTCAGGCTCGGCAGTTCTTTCTTCTCCTTCACTCTCAGGCTCGGAGCAGCAGTTACTTCTCCATTTTCCTTTGCAATTTCCTTGTCCTCCACATCCTCAGTGGATTCCAATAGGGCTTGAGAATTAGAGACAAGTACTGGAAGGTTCGAGAAAGTTCTAGAGCGAAGGAAACAGGACGAAGAATTGTTGATGGTGATGGGACAAAGCAACGTCGTTTGATGAGGAAGAAGAGAGAGAGATTGCTTAAAGAAGGAGAAAGAGAGGATAGAAGCGGGTCGGAGCAGGCGATGAAAAACCATGTGTTGGGATGAGGAAGAGGAAGAGGATAACATTACTGTTCCCATTTGCTTTCAGCTTCAGATGCTGTACTTCCACTCCATTTCCAAGTTTGAGGGGGTAACGTGTGGTTACACACTATCCTCCTTTGGAGTTCTCGTAGATTTAGTAACACCGACAAATTAAAATATAATGAAGTATCTCCTACAGCATTGGGTGTTTGGTCTAGTGGTATGATTCTCGCTTCGGGTGCGAGAGGTCCCGAGTTCGATTCCCGGAACACCCCTTTTATTTTTAAACTTTCTAATCCAGCTATAATTTTTTTTTTCTTCTTCCTTTTCTTACTACTAATTAATGGTATCTCTCTTAACTTTTTCAGTTAAATACAAGGGAAGGAAATCTCAGAAACTACAAAAAAATTGAACCTTTATGCCTATGTTTCGACAAGTGATTTCTTTTTTTCATGTTTCGAGAAGTGAAGTTGCCAACCATGGACTTGATCTTGTTCTAGAATGTCAATTCTCTTTTTTTCGCTTCAAAAAAGGTCAATCCTATTATCATTCTTGTATTTAATCTATATATTACCTTTCCAATTTTGTTCATCCACTCAACACACACTTGTTCCATATTTTCTATGATCACGAGACAGTAATAATATAATTACTACGTAATATATAGAAGTAGTAATAGCTGGCATAATCAAAACCTTTTCTTTAGTTTGTCATTTCTTTTTATTTTGTGCGTTGTCTCGAATTAGTTTTACCTATGCAAAAAATAAAACTTCTCATTCCAAAACTATCCTTCCCTACCTTAAATTGTAACTTCTTTAACATTATTTTCTTTACTTTTGTCTCGTGCAACGCTAGATAAAACGTGAAATGTTGCTATCTTAATGCGATTGACAACGTAGAGCATATTGATTGCTATTAAACCTTAATTCAAGCAGCAAAAATTGGACCAACACTTTTGTTGCAGAATTCCTCCAGCATATTACAAAAGGCTAGCCGTCCTCATGTCACGGAGATAACACAGTAATTTAACTCACCAAAACAAGAGCATAATAATATCTTTTTATGTATACTTGAATTTGTTACAATGGAAATAAGAGACGAGTGAGAAAATAAAGAAAATGCTAAGAGTACATTATACGGAAAACATTTTTTTTAGTTGTGCAATAAGAGATGTCCAATTATAAATTTACAAAAGACCAACTGACACAAATTGGCACTCTTGAACGCATAAGGGTTTTAAAGACTCTTTTTGGTTCTTTCCCTCACAAATTGGGGGCACTCTTTTAACGCACGCGAATAGAGGGTGTCAGAATAGAAATTAGACATGAACACACTTGGTGAGAACTACATGTAAAGACCTCATAGTTTCAAACACCACCCGAAACTTGGTAATTACCATATCAAAAATGCATTGGATATTCACCAGACTTTCATCTTTGATTTGGCAAAAAATTTCAACCACATGTGTGGAAGAAGTTGTTCGCACGCAGATGTAGTGTAAGAGAACCACATATTTTCCGAGAAATCCAAAGTTGCTAAGAGCTCGGGATAAGAGATAGTTAATTTCGGAATTAAATTTAAGATGAGTTTATCTCGTTTTGATTATAATAAAATAGTGAAACTAATCCCGATATTAGTTACCCCGGAATTATAGTATATTTTATCCTCATGGGAAGAGGATAATTAATTCCGGAATATCTAATCATGGGATAACTTTTTCCCAACAAAACCAAAGTGTAACACATTGATTTGATGCATCCCTTAAATCTGATGTAATCTAGAAAAGTACAACACAGTTACGTACCCCATAAGACGAGCCACACAGTCATATGCGAACCTTATGAGTAACCTCTACGAATTAAGCAATGAATTCTTGTTGGAAGTAAGAGATGAATCTCACCGATCGCACACAATTTAGATTAGAATATAGGCCTAGAATAAACGAAAATAATAAATAAACTGCCCATATTTCTAAGGTGGTCAAAATTAATGATATGAACAGCTGAAGAACAGATACCTTTGGCCAGAACCTTCAGTCTTGAACCAAAATACCAACAATCAACAGCGTTATTGATGCAACTGCTCATAAAAAATGTGTAACAACGTTAAATATTAAAACCAAAACACAAATCAAAAACTTGTCCCATTTCTCAAGAAGTCCCATAGGCCATAACTGCATGACTACATAACCAGAGTAACAGATCAAAATATCAAATCAAACTTTAGGGAAGCAGCGCAGCAAAAGATCCTCAACAGGCAATAAGGAAAGAAAAAAGGCTTCATCTGAAAAGGCAATAATGTCATAGCCCTACTTTTTCCAATTGCCAATTAAAACTCTATCTTTCTTTATTTCGTATACAAACGTACAACTAAAGGGTGGACCCCATCACCTGCCTCTACTCAATCGGATTATCAGGGAGATTTTCTCAGGTGCCAGTATCCACCCTCACTTTTTTCCTGTTTACACAAAGCTAAACCCTAGCTCCCTAAACAAACACTACCTCCAACAAGAAAATTGGACACAATCTGAATAAAACAAACTGAAAATAATACTGAAACGAACTACACTGAACTTAACTAGTACACTAGCCATTATGAACTAAAACTGCATTGCTATAAAATTTGATGATTATAATTTCTCATTTATCGAGAATGTGAGTAGGAGGGGGAAGTGACTCTACATTTTCCCACAGTATTTATATTCACCAACTCCCCAGAACCATCTCTTGGAGGACTGAAAATTACAGGCAGAAACCCTTCTGATTCACAATCAAACATCGTATCTTTGAACCGGTTCACTAACGCCTCCTTTCCCTGTTAGCCATTTCACATCAAAAATCACATAAACTAATTAATACATCAACTGATCGATAAAAAAATTCTTGAACCGAGTACTGAGTGGCAAATTAAAAGAGGTCTAAGCAAATGCACCTTGATCTTTGCAGTGACTATTTTAACACTCCTCGGAGATTCCGGAAACACGTTTAGTTTGTTATTAAATGCACCAAAAAATTTCAACACAGCTCCGTGATCTGTGAAATTAACAAAAGCGAATCCTCTGCTCCTCTTATTTCTGCACAAATAAAACCCATCTTTTACGTTAGCCCTAAACATAGAAGAGAAGTTACTATTGCTAACAATTAAACCAGACACAACGAGATAATATAGATTTAAACTACGTACTTGAAATCCATGGGCAAATACAAGAAGTCATAAGCGGAGACAATATTTTGTCCATTAGAATCTTTGGCCTTTTCATTTTCCACTGAGCAATGTTGGTCTAGAAATTGCATCAACATGTCACGGCTGTAAAGGAAAAAAATGAAACCATTAAATTTCTAACAAATTCCAAGGAGCATAAAGAATTAATTAATAGCGGGTAAACTGATAGTGATAATGATATGCAACTAGAGAGTCGGACTATTAATTTACACTTAATAAACTTCCAAAAACGGAAATAAATAAATGAATAACAAACGAAACAAAAAAGGTCAAACATACCTGTAAGAGTATGGAATATTCTTGATCATGACAGTAGTAGTTTTGTTTTGGGTCCAAGTGAGAGGTATCACATCGTGTTTCTGCAGCTTATTGTTCTGTGGCCACTTTCCATAACAAACACTTTGAGACCTCTCATTTTCCATTTTCCGTTGCACAAAACCCTCATTAGAACAACTTTCTCTGGAAAAACCTCGACCCCTTTGTCTTGGGACATAACCACTTCTCATCCTAGGAGGCCGAGGTCGAGAATTCTCATGAGCCATTAACCTCGGAGGAATATTCCGAGGCGCGTGTTTTACCGATGGTCGCGATATCTCCTGCGGTGGTGGATCGACGGCAGGAGATGGAGGTGGTGACGTGTACAGCGAGTTTGGAAGATAATGAGTTGGAGAATCGAATGTTAACGTTGATGGTGCAACCTCCTGCGGTGGTGGATCGAAAGCAGGAAATGAAGGCGGTGGCGGCGGAAGCGGAGGCTGTGGTGTGTAGAGAGAGGTTGCCGGATAATGAGAGGGAGGAACAGAAAACGGTGGTTGAGATAGTTGATTAATGGGTGTAAAAGGAGAAGGCATGTAGCCGGCGGGGAAATGGTAAGAGTTGAGGGGAAGGGAAGGTGGAGGAATATTGACAGTGTTAGTATAGAAAACAGGAATATACTCAGGTGCTTGAGGGTTCAAAAAACTCCTTCGACCAGCCATTATTGTACTGTATCTGAAACTAGGTTTTGATATTATATAAAAAGAAAAAGAGAAGTGGTGTTCGACGAAAAGATTGCGAAGCTGGGGTTCAGAGTTCTAATCTCTGAAGAAGTATGAAGAATGAAAGAGACAGAGAAAGAACAGTGACAGAGAATTAGAGAGAGAGAGAGACTCAAACCAGTGTGAGAAGAAAGAACGATAGAAACTGTTGATTCACTGCACTGTCCACTCGCTGTTGGCAGCAAAAAGGCCACTACCTTTTTATAGCCACCCCCAACCAAGGAATTTGTGGCTAAATCTTTCGGACAATTGATTAAATAGAAAACTAGAGAACAACGCAGGATACTGCTAAGGAAAAACTACTGCACAGGAAAACAGGAGAACTGTGTCTACCTTATATATAATGCAAATAATTTTTGTATAATGAAAAGAATTTAATTTGTTATAGCAAATTATTTAATATATTTTTTAAGTTATCGGATTATACTTATTATAAAGAGTTACTTATTATTGTGAGTAATTTAATTTGATGTTAAAAATATATAAAATTCTGTTATTATAAGGAACTTAATTAATTTTCTTAACAATCATGAGGTTACAATTTCGATTTCTTTCCTTGCGAAAAGGGAAAAAAATATTTATATTTGTCACACATATTTTTCTCATAATATTTTATCAAACTTGAACAATTATACCACTTGCATATGAAAAATATTGAACTGCCAAATGTGATGATTGGATGAGTGATATTTTTTAATCATTAATCGATTGCGATTTGCATTATTGTAATATATATATAT